CTTTACTCCTAACTGTAGCTCTAAATGGCTGTCTACCTTTAAGTTTACCTGAGGATTCGTATCAACCTACAATTTGCATTTCCTTTTATTACGGGCATGGTGGTCCGTTGAGTCACTCTAACAAGTCAAATCCAACTTGCTCAAATAAACCTTATAATTGTAATAAAATCAATATTTTACTGCTTAAATCCACATTATACCCGATTTTTCTGCTAGGAATATTGAAACCCTACTATCATCGTTGTATAATGTGTTTAACTTAGCTATTTCTGTATCCATTCCGTTTAAGTCACCTCGCTCTCGAGCCACGTGCCCACATTTCGTATTTCGCCTATTCTGCTGCAAGACATAGATTTAATTACATGGTTGTTGCAGATACGTTCAGTTAATAAAAGCGTCACTGTTGGTTAATCCTAAATACTTTTTTATAAGTTTGAAAAGAAAATCCCCATAAATCCCTTGAAGGTTTCTTTAAGGGCCCCTTTTATTTATTCTATACATTAATGATCTCCCTTCTGTGATTACATCCAACGAGATCTTAATGGACGCTGACGATGTTAAACTGCTTTCTTGCTTCTCCGGGGAATCGCAATCGCATCAGCATCAAATTGACTTAAATAATTTTCTTAGATGGTGATCGCTAAATTTCATGAAATTACACCTGAAAAGATGCAAGAAGCTTTCTCTATTAAGAAGAAAACCATTCAATACCGAGTATTTCATTGATTCACCCAAACGTTGATTCGTTAATCGGCTTAGGTGTTTTATTTGACCAAAGATTGCGTTTTAATTTGCACATTGAGCAAGTAAAGCACTCTTTAAGTAAAGCTAGGTCCGCGTTTGGTTTTATTAAGAGGTGGTTCTATTAATAGCGGAAAGGCCCTTACATAACAAAAAGGCCATACATGCGCTTAGACCAATACTTGAGGATGCCTCGGTTGTCTGGTCTTCTTTCTATAGGTGTTATGTGAACCCTTTAAAACACCATTTTTGCTATTTGCCCTTAGGAATTGGTGTTGGGACCTGCTTGTCTCTAGCCGTCCTTATGAAAATAACTTCTATTGTCCTTACCATTATTTGAGAAAGGTAGATCTATTCTTGGTTTTTCTTCTTAATTAAGGTAATAAATGGTACTATCGATTCGCTCACATTGCTTGGTGGCATAAGCTTTATTGTCCCTAATCGCTTCCCTAGACAATTTATCTTTATTAAGCTTAGTCAATGCAGATGTAATTACGAGACGTTCATCCGTTCAGAGTTGTTTTCAGAGATCTAAATCATGTCTATCGCTTAATCTCAATATCGCACTCTTTAAAGTCCATCAAAACAACTACGCTTAATAGATACCATTTGCCTATGTCCTCTTTATCGCAATCCTAACATCTCACTATGATTCGAAAATTAATTGGTTAGTTTACTGTTAACAGTTGTCAAGCTTCTGCATGTTTGCAATTGTTTAGGCGTTTATTTGCAACTTTTATATGTAACGGCTGTGGGTGCGTCGCTCTGCTTTTCTTTCTTATTTATTTATACATGAATTATTGTTTTGTTTTTTGTTTGCTTCTTTTTATAAACTTTGTATTATTTTTTTAATTGTTGTGTTTAATTAGTAAAAGATTTATTTCTAAAAGTCAATGGAATCCGGCTGTTAATTTATTTTAGCTGAGTTCCATATGTATATAAATAAATGAATTAAATATAAAATAAAAGTAATCCTTGAACCAAAAATTGTTTATGAGATTTTGTATGTCCCACACATTACCATTGAAAGTTCTTGGGAATTTGCCATCTCTGTTGACTTTCAGTTTAGTGTCGAAACTCCTTTCGTTATATACGAATCCATGACAGTCTTGGTTCTTTGGCAGTGAGATTGATGTCGAGAAAAAGAGCGTGTGCTCAAATCTTGACAGGAGAACATGTCAACCGACGTTCCTTTATTAGTTTATTGTCTTCGCTGATTTGACAGACGGAAATGGATTTTCCGAGAGTGGCCATACAACATTCGTGTTTGGCAATGTCGTCCCCTTATAAATGTTTACACAAATTGGTCACAGGGGACCGGGATGCTAGGCAGACAAATAAAACCGGCCCCTCAAAAGCCCTAACCGGCAGGTTCATGCCTTTTGGTCCTAAAACACCAAAATAAAGTATCTTTTTATAATATTAATTAGGTTTTTAAATCAAGTTTTTTGTGTTTATTGTTACTGTTGTGAATATGTTATTTAATTTTTTTTTACAATTGAGTGTTTCGTTTTCTCTTTTCTTCTCTTCTCATAGTTTTGTCTGTTTCCGTCTTTTTTTTTGCTGCGGTGCTCTCGTGCAATTAGCTCCCTTCCCACAGGGCCCATCTTCGATCAACGCAATGAATACATTAAAATCGTTATAAAAACAAAGAGCGCCTTCCTTTACAAAATACCATAAAAAAAATTGGGTTAAAAAATTGGATTAGCCAAATTGCCAACCACTCTTGATATGACAATGAGACATCGTTAACTGGTCCGAGAATCTTCGATTGTATATATAGCTAATCTAAAAGCGATTATTCAACTGACAGGCTTAGAGGGATTGATTAATCAAGGGCGCTAACTGAGTGATTGAAATATCTTGTTACTCGATAAATAAACGGCAAAACCATTATCTTCCTAACCCAACATACTTCATCTAAGTTCAACTGATTTCAACCAACGTCCTTGAATTATTCTGCGCTATTGATAAGGCTTTCTTCGACAATTGTCTAACTGAAGCTGCTCATGTAGATTTCAATAAGGCCTTTGATTAAATACATCATGAGTTTAGAGAAACTTTATCTACTAGAATTTCCGACCTGCTTGATTAAATGGATAAAACCCAACTTAAAAAATATACTTTTACTTCTTTTTTCTAATGTTTTAGCGCTTCAAAATCGTATTTATAAGACAATAATTTGGTGTGATATTGTGTAATCAATTTTAAAAGCAATTGAAGAAAAAAAAGAAAAGAATACAAAATATTTTTTTCAACCCATCGGACGAGGTCTTCGTTTCCTCAAGAGTCTCTCAAAGCAATTGCTTATGTCTTACTTATGTCTTACGTGTTACGGTTTATTCTATATCTTCCCCATTTCTCTATGGTCATCCAGTACCTCAAAATTCTTAAATACACGAATGAGGTTAAATTGTGTTAATCTTCTAATAACCTCCAAAATCCATATTTAATTTTGGGCGTTATGACTCGCATGGCTTTGCTGTGCAAAGTAAGCTTCATATGCTTCCCCTTTAATAAATACGAAATCTTGACTTTCTCTAGAAGAGCTGCTTTACCAGCGCCTTGACATATTAACAATTTTAATTGGAAAGGGCCCCTCATTTTGAGATTGACGCGTCACCTTTAATACCAAGCCTCGCTTCAAATTGCCTATAAGACAAAAACAGAAAAATAAAGCGACAAATCTGCTAGTCTTCATTACGCAATGTTCGAATGAACTCGACGAGCCCCATATAAAGAAAAGATTATTCGTAAGTCTGGTGAGACCTGTTATTGAATATGGTTTACCCGTGTGATCCTCTTATATATATTGCATTGGCTCAGTTGGGTATGTTCACAATCTACTACAGCAATTAACAGTACAATTTTAATTTCAATTTATTTAGCTTTTATTTCTTATTTATTTATAACTGATGAAGAATTTGCTGTAATGTAGCGTAACAGTACATTAAAAATAAGTCAGAAATAAGTTGGAACTAAAATGCATTGTTAATTGTCGCCGTATTAGTAAACTGATCGCAACCATATTTGGAGTGAATATGCATGCAGGTGGCTCTGTCGAATATAATTTGCAATTGTAACATTTTATTTGTTTATGTATTTTTTTGTTCCCACATTCACAAATTCATCAACATGTCGCTTTATTTAGTAATTTAATTTTATTGAATTTGCAAATTTAAGATTGTTATAATAAATTTTTTTCCCTTTTCTTTCAAGTCCCGTTCAGACACATCGAATATATTATTACTTCTGTGTATTGTTTTTCTCACTATTTAGATTTTACAAATAAAACATTAACCATAAACATGCGCATTTAAAAGTTATAGTACACATTCTTACTAAATAACGAACTAACAAAAATGTTTACATATGGTGTGTCTATTTTATTTTCCAAAAAGAATAGTTGATACCATATTAGTAGAAAGATCAAACAAATCTTCAAATGACCCGTTTTGTTGATTTCTTACTCTTTTTAAACGCTGAAGTCTATATTTTTCGGAAAAGTTTACAGAAGTAAAAAACCATACAAAAAGCACAACTTATTTATACATATATATTTCCCAAAGCTTTTTCTGATAGAGTGCCAAGCACACTCACGAATTTAAAATTAAAATATATCTCTACACTTTGATCAAATATACGGTATATGTTTCGTATCGAGTCTACACAAATTTTTGTTACAGCCCAGTTTTGCGTTTTAAAGTGAACTTTATATGTTGTATCCACCGTCAAAATGTATAACTTTAATAATTTTATTAATGTTCGTATCAGAGAGAAATATACACATACACCTGTCAATAGTTAACATGAAAACAAAAAATTCTCAATAATTGATTACCGTAAACCAAATTTACAATTTCGAACAAATTAGGCAAAAAACGTTGACAAACGTTAAACACTTAACACAATTCCAATATTTAAAGACCACTTTAAAAATCTACACGCCTGTAATTTATAAAGAACAATAAGCGTCTACCAGAAATCACGTAAAGAATGATATACGGTATGGCAATAGAGAAGCAATCTTTTTCGTATCACAAAACGGTTCTTTTCAAAATGTGTAATAACGTATATAATTTGAAATTAAATTATTGATTGAAGAGTATATTTATGACATTGATAAGGAAATTTTGGTAATTTAGTTCTGGTCATTTTCCTTGTCTTTTTTGTAAGACGCGTTCTATGCAAAAACATATGTAGTTCACTTATAGATTTGTAACTAAATTTAAAATATATTTCACTTTTGCATGTCGAGACAATTAATATTTCAGATTTAGCTCGGATTTAATAATTTAGTATCGGTGGACATATACTGATTTCCGCGTCTGCGACTTGTATTATTTTAGTTTGTAATTGCGTATACCATTTAATTGCTAAATAGTAGTCTGCTTTCTTACGTTCACGAGTTGTTATATCCGCGATTGTACCATAAGCATGCAACCATTATACACTCAAACCAGTTTTTTCGCCGTCTTTTTTTTTGCCTTTAGACGGTGCCTATTCACCGCACAAAAACATAAAAAATATATATAAAAAATAGCTTTCACAACACAATTAAAACTTTTTTTATGCGATGAATCGCATCAACGCACAAAAACTGGTTTGAATGTGTACGAAATACAAAATCGATACGCCCGTTTTTAGGTTGACGGTAGTCGATTGCTTTTGTAGCGAGTTAAGGTTCTCGCTCGTTGCAGTTACAACGGAATTTATGTGATATCATCGGTAAATATAATTTGAAAAACAAATCCGGTGAAAAAATTAAAATCTATTAAACAAAAATATAAAACAATGTCTAATATATGGAATTAAATATATGACTGTTTATTTAAATTGTCTTATTCTTTTTTCTTAATAGCTAGCTTGATGTTTATAATCTCCATAATAAATATGCTCTCTACATACTGCCTAAAGAGCCCCTAATATCACATTTGCAGAGTACTTTTTAAGCAGTTTCTATTAATCTTACATTTCCATTTTTAACACCTCAATTTTTTCATTAGTTGCATATTCACCTATCCCTTTTACTGGATTTTATAATTTTTGCAAACATATAGGAATTTCTGGGATTAAATAATTTTTCCATGTTCCATATGAGCATGCTATGCTATTTCCATATGAGCATGCTATACTATTCTAAATTCGTCCGAGGACAAACGTTTCTTATTTACGTATTTTGTTATATTGTTTGCCTTTTTATGTCTAACAGTACGCAGTGCTTGGTTTATCTTTGTTTTATTTATTCATTTATTAATTTGTTTATTTTAAGGTAGTGTTTAAATTTAATTACTTATGCTGTATATACTTTGTTCTGTAAATGTTATTTATATAGAAGCATTTCTTAGCGTATTTTTCTGGATTGTGTCTGCATGTGTTTATGTAAATGATTAGGTATGAGTAAATTTTAATTCACTGCCGCAGTAAATATATTCGAGTTGTCCCATTCTAACTGGTTGATATTAGCAAATCTTCCTTTGACCACTGAAATGAATAGTAAAACAGAATATAATTAATAAATAAAAAAGGGATCGAATACTGTACGTGCAATTTATGTCAAATCACGTATAGGTCGTAATAATGTGCGTAATACACAAATTTATAAGTCCAAAGTTTTATGAACATTTTTTTTTTTCAAAATCCGCCCCTATGACACTTAAAACCTCATCCTGTTACTACTTTGAAATAGGAATATTGGTGTGATATATACGTGTCATTTACATACCCGAAGTTTACATTTAACATTTTGCGAAACGCCATGTATTAAAGCTGATAGAATTGAAAAGAGCTGTCTGAATATTCGTAATGCTAATGGAAATTCCGCAGTCTATTAGTGTCTATTTGCTTTGTGGATCTCGTACAAATGAGCTTACGAGGAAATTTAAAAGGGACTTACGTAAAATTATGAACCAAAATGAGAATTTTCAAATATAGAATAGTTGCTGTACCAGAGCATGAATTCAGAGCGTACTTTTCGGTAGCGACCTTATGTAGTAAAGGCTCGAGTTATATTCCAACGAACCGACGAGCTATACTTGCTTTTTCAGATTCGGTATTGAGCAATATATCAGCGCTTAATTCCGATTAATAAGTTCCAAAATGAGTTTCATTCCGATCGATTACCAGTTAAATTTTCTTCAAGCACTCAAAAAAATTGTATCGACCTTTTTCCACTTACACTTTGAATGGTCAAAAAAGCTATGTCAATTTTATATTCACTACAAAGGAAGTAGATGACTGCGTCATATCACCGTATTATTATATAATACATGTAATCAGAAGCAGAAATTATTACAGAAGATAAACGAACAGCAAATCGACCATATGAACACTCGTAATTGCTCATCTCTAATGATAATATAAGAAACAAATAACAATTTTCTGCGTAGAAAACGCAATATTATTTCCGCGTGTAAGCATATAATGATAACGTACAAACTGTCATTGTTGTAAGTTTTGCTCTGCTGCTAACGAGCATATAGTAAATTCTCTGGCAGTGCACCTTAACCCAATTTCAGCACACATCTCATAAAATATAACGTCGTTAAACGTCGTTGGTACTTGAAATGCGCCCAAAAAAGTGTCCAGATTTCGATAACAACGAAAATATAATTTGAGAAACCATTCCCCATGAAGGAATCAAATTTTTAACTTACATAGTTAACTTATCGGTGAAGTTTCTTATATTTCGAGTATACGGGTATTGACTTAAGCCAAGCAAACTAGCAAATGAAGTTAGCGGTTATTTACCTACTGAACAGTTGAGTTCTCTACGATAGATCTTTGAAACACTTGTGAAAGGAAAATATTCCAAATGAACCTTTTGGTTTAGAAAGCAAATCAAACAAAGTCGAGACTAAAGAATCTTCTAACTGACTTGTCTTTCGCATTGAAATAAATTTTGCCATAGTGGTTTGGTTTTTAAAATTGTATCTAGTGGTTTTCCGCTTCGCGAAGTTAAATTAATTCAAAGCTTTGTGTTAAAAAAACATTTTGGCGCTCCTCGTTTAGATCGATACGCTGATTTGCCTTCTATCTCTGCAGGTGTTCCGTAAGGATTTATTCCGGTTAAAATTTTTTACTCGATATTCTTTTCTTCCCGAAACTTAATGATTTCCACGTTGCTCTATACTACAAGAATATGAGTATTCATTTACTGCAATAACTTGGTTATGACATACTAGATATTTGTATTTATATAACATAGACGTTGCTTGCCACTATGATATATCGAAACCGTGTTACATGAAACTTTTTTAATTAGTTATTTTAACTAATGCATAAAATAGAAAAATATGTTTAAGCTTAGATGTAATATATATCAAAGCAATGTGTATCATGTTGTTGTTTTGTGTTATATCGAAACCCTGTTATAAGAAACTTCGAAATAATATAACCGTTTGATATAATATAACCGTTTTATAACAATCACAAATTTTGTACCGCGTTCAATATTTTACAAACATCATGTTATGCGATGGTGGCCTCTGTTTAATTATGTAACTAAGAGCGAATTTAGTTAAATGCAGAAGAGACTCAAATCACCTTTGTTACTCGAAACCCTTTCTTTCTCCCTTTATTTATTTTGCCAATTCAAGGTCATGAAATTTCTTTTCCTGATCAGATACTTGATGTTAGCTACTTGAGAGTTATACTGCACATATAATCAATCTTCCGCAATCATGTTCAGCACATCGAAAAGAAGTACGGTATTCTAAACTGAGTGCTGTAAATAAGATTCTCCTACGTAAAGTTGGTTTTCAATTGGTTATATTAAATGCCAGTCCAGAATGGCGTAACTGTTGATTAACCCACTTTAAAAATTTGCAAATATGCCAAAATACATTATTGAAAATGAAGTTAAATTTGCCCAACAATTTTCCTAGCATAAATTTCAACAAAATCAGAAATGTAGGCCCATTGAAAACAAAAATAATCAAATTACGAAGAAATTAACTTTTTGTAAGTCCTAATATATAACCTATTTTATAAGCAAAGCTGTGATATTTAAATCGGATATCTTTATTTGTAGATTTTCTTTGGCTGTGTACATCACATAAATGGCATGAATTGTAATGCGCTTTATTTTTTTTGCATTTGTAACGTTATAGAATAAGCAAGTATACCATATTATTAATAGCTACGTAGATAGATCAAGTCAACTTGCTTATGATAAAATACCATTTAAAAAATGTTGTACTTTCGCAAAATTAACAATACAACAAATTCGCATGATCCAACCAGTGAAACTGTTTTTAATCCAGTTCATTTTCTGATGAAAGATCCCTGTGTGAATACTGCGAACATTGCAAAGAAAGCAAAACAAATAGAAACTTATACTTAATGCTATAGAACTTATTGTGGACAAAGTTCCACTTGCATAACAGAAAAGAAAACAACGGATATGTAAGAAAAATGAATTGGCTTAGTTTGTTGAAAACTTTTGTAAGCTTTTTTTGTCGTGTAAGACGATACGAAAACGAAATAAACAACTAAATGGTCTTATATATTTCAAAACGGTCAGTTCCATATGCCAGCGATACGAATTAGAAAACAACTAGTTAAAGGCCACTAAGTGAAATGAAAGGGCCATGATATACGTAATTGGACGTAGGTGTGTATTATTTCATTTATAAAATTAAGAATTATCGCAATTTGAAATTTGAATGACCTTTATAATCTCAAGTCAGTGGTGGATTCTGGTTGTGACTCAAGTCAGTGGAAAATTCGATTGAATCTTTATATATTGTTTAAGCTGCTTATATATTAGGATGCGACGAAATAAAGTCAGTCATGTTTGGTTTTGCTGTCAACATCTGCCTTTTAATCGCCGACTTAATTGTATCCCATAGGGAGAATTACACAATCATAAATCACAATCTTCATAATTATGATCGTTTATATTCATGATTTCTCAAATGCTCTTTTAATATACCCAAGCGATCTAAAGTTACTATATACTATTCTTCTTATCGATCATGATACGATAGAAATGGGGAAAGAGCAAACTATTATTACTATTTAGGAGTATGGTCCTAAAGGCCATAACAAAAGAAATTACCTGTTGTGTATACAAATGATCTACTGATAACATTTTCATGAGACCGCCTATTTGCTAACCTGTATCTTGCTATTCTAACTTTGTTTACATTTATCTTTATTAATGCTTTCACGTCGACACTTTCCTAGTGTTGATGCCATTACTTCTATAAATTGTTACGATTGATATCATCTTGCCTTGATACATTATGTTTGTTCGCATCATTATTATTACTACTCTCATACATATTATTGTGGATATTTTCATATTACCCTTATATATATATGTATATATATGTACAGTAAAAATTCTTTATTCGCGGGGTATGTGTGCCGCGAGTACGGAAACCGTGAATACGAAATATGTGGATACCTATTGGAATCCTTTTATTATGTATGTACTTATTAGATCCGCAAATAAAAAAATATAAAACCGCGAATGTAGCAATTTTTGTAATTTTTTTTAATCCGCGAACAGTAAAAACGCGATTGAAGGAAGCGCGAATAAGGAACTTTTACTGTATATGTATGTTGATATCATCACATTACTTTTGTATATATTGTTGTAGATATTATCATATTACATTTATATACATGTTTTTAATATCGTAACATTGTCTTGGATGGATTATCGCAATAGTTGTCATTTTCATAAAATCCTGCTATCATTGATTTATTATTTATTATCATTACTGATATTAATATTAGCTTTCATGCTATTAGCATCCCATTTTTTTAAATTATTACACATCCAATTCTTTTGCGTATGCATTCAATTCTTTCTTTAAAAAAAAAGATACTGTATTAAAATATCCATTTTGGGTCTTATGCATTGTATATATTGTGTTTATTGTATATTCCCGGTATATTCCTGAATTTATATGTTGTGGGTGCTTCTGGCAGTGATGATAGAAAAGGCATAGTTTGTGCAGTGAATTTTAAGTCAGTAACAGACCTAACTGCGGTTAAGCCTTTAGTTTAATTTGCGAAAATTAAATGGGCTGCCTTCCTAATCTAAGCATAGGAAATTCATCCAACCTGCTGTAGTTGGTCAATAGCGAATTTAGTCATTAGGCTAGTGGGTTGTAAAGGGATGCAGAGTTGATTGGGTTAATAGAGGGCTCTGTTGTCAATCTTAAGACACCCGTCCGTATGTGGAAAGAAGGTAAACCGGCTTAACCGAAGGCCGTTATTTACCACCTAAAAGGACTAGAATACGTAGGAGAGTTAGAGAGTACGTAAGGTAGTGAGAAAACTAACTTCGTTTACCGAAGGCTCAATCACCAGCTGCTGAAGCATAGCGGTCGGCAAGTCAAATAAGTTACCTGAAGGCTCTGCTTACCAATCTACTGTCACGAACAAGTATGGCGAGTTAGTTAGGAAAACAAGCGCAACATGTTTGCCAGCCACTCAAATTCGGGCTTACAGGCAAAATTATAAAGTTCGTGCAGTAACGCGCAATACAAAAAGAAAAAGGAATTAAATAAGGTGTGTAGTTTCTCTCTTACGTGAATAGTCTCTAACGAACCCTGATCAAGACGGCTTCACCTCTGTTGAAAGGTGAAAATATCACGTTACAAGAACGTTTTAGTGAAAGCCTTTCCTAGAATTTATTTTATTACCTTCTTCATCTTCTGATTCCGAAATTTCGGAATCGGAACTCTCCTCAGAAATTGCATCTCCTTGCATGGGATTTATTGTAATTGTCAAAGCTGAGTCATCCCAGGTAAGCCCTTCGTCAGCAATCTGTTCAAGCGTTAAAAAATACAATAAAAATATTATCTTACTTTTTTAACTTGCTATATATAATCAGACCTTTGGACAAGGTTGATGACGTTCGGCGTATTTATGGTTGTTACTATTTTTCAAGCGAGCAATGGATACTCCACTCAAAAGGATAACCGAAAACACACAAACTAGTATAATTAGCGTTGTAGGATGTGAACTTCCAGCTGCGAAGTATAAGGTAATATTCGAATGAAATTAATGATAGCATAGAAAGTATTTATAGCTGTACCAACCTTTGTGACCAATGGAGTGTAATTTTGATTGGGGTTCTTGTGCGTCATGCTGTTGTGACATGGCATGTGAGAAAATTTTGTTATCTAAATAGAGGGGTGAAAAAAATTGGTTCGTGATTTTTTTTCCACTTCCTATACAAACCATTAACGAAGAGACCCATGTAAATATATATAAAAAAGTCAGTCTGTGAAGCTATCACTAATTGTGGAAGAAAGCAGAAGCATTTGAAACTAAATCTTAAAGACCTTCAAAAACCCGGTGCCTTCTTCAGATTATTACGAGCAATTTTAACTGAGAAGATAATAAACTAACAAACAAACAGTCTGTTGTATTATAAAATTATAACAAAATATAGAGCCTCCGATTCGCTAGTGGCAAGTATAGAGTTTAGAATTATTTTAATTTTTAAATACCAGCATAATTGATGTTACCATAATCTGTGTGGGCAGCCGAAAAAGCCAACAGTGCATTAGGTGTGGTCTTTGGTGAATCTAGAACACCAGTGGGTATCTGCTTAGGGTGCAGAACTGTTAAAGTTAATGTAAACTCTCCTGTATTGTATTGTAAATTCAATTGGGAGCAAGCCACTTTAAAAACCCGATTTAAGTAATAGGCCGGCTTCTTGTTACTGTAGACTAACGCTTTTAGTACATACAAATAGTTAGCCACACTATCAGTTCCAATCATTTCAACGCCATCTTTGTTAATGTTAGTCTTAATGTCCAAAGTAGTAGAGAGGGTCTCGTCGCCATCAATCTCTATTTCTTCATGGTCAGGATTTAATGAAGGAAATACAATAACACTGCAGGTGTCCAAGCTCTGCAATTCAGCTGAAATGCGTTCACCAATAAGACTAATTACACTAACATTAACGGTTCCCAAAATATGCACACCGCGCTTTATTTCTGGATACGTTACCAAATTGTTTGAGTTGCCTAATAAAGTAAAAAGCAAAAAATTATGGATGATATTGGTGTGCATACATAAAAAAATATCAGAAAAAAATGGAACTGTAAATAATAAATCGAACTCCTTTCTTAAATACCTAAAAATACGAAACTTTGGGATTCTTTCCAGTGGGTCTACTTAATTTTTTTGACTATGGGCAAAAATTATTCTGGTTGGATTAATTTCAACTGAGACTATTTTCCAATTATCTGATAAGGTCAAAATAGTTTTAAAATCCATTCATTTTGAATTAAAACATAATCATATATTTTAGTTACATGCTGTACATATTGCCCAATATTTCCATGCAGACTTATTTTGCTCGAAGATTGTTCATTATTGTGACATCTATGACAATTCGTGTTAGGCGGGATCATATAAAGTTTGTTATGAATGTGCAACGTTGTTCATATCTTATCTAACTATTTGGCTTCAAAGATCTGATCGCTTAATTAAAATTTACAGTTACGTGTTAATTTGACCTTTGGTGCCGAATGTCAAGACTTCGACGGAGAATAATAATTTGAGTGAATGGGTTTGATTCAAATTGCTGTGTCTCAGCGATTCATTTTAATGCTACGTACAAAAAGCAAGACCAATATTCGAGTTAAACAACGCCATTATATTGAACATCAGAAATACTTCTTTCCTAAATCCATAGCAGTCACACATACATCTGTATCATATTTCACATCAGTAACGTTATTAGTGGTTCAGCTGTGTTTGGCTTTATGCGATACAAAAAGTAGTTTGTCTGGTTTTTATAATGTGTGTGAAAAGATGATTTCAGACTGTCAAACAGTCATGAAGTGGATTGCTACGAGATATTGAGATTTGTATCTACGAACGCGAGCCAAAAATGAAATGCTGACTTATTTTTAACTGTACGGCAAGGCCTTTTTGAGTTTTTGCTGAACTTTGAACTTCTCCCTCCAACACCTCCCGCGAAGCTGCAGAGCCTTAGTTGTTCTCAAGACTAAAACTCTTTGGCCGAAATCTCGTGATCTACTACCAAACTGTTTTACCACTTACTGAACATTCAGTACAAGCTAATGCATTCATTCCCATAGCTTCAGCTACATTCTTCTTTAATTTAGAATATCATCACACTTTAATATACAGTGAGCGAAAGCTGACAAAAACTGATATGTATAAAGTGCAAACGCTAATATTCTAGTTCCCTACATCCAAAATTTAGCAAAAATTGAACTCGTCATCTTCGTTTCATGAAGCAATCAATTTCAACCGACAGAAGTTATTTCAGTAACAGCTTGAAAGAATGCAGTACATCTTTGCAGATGAAATATTTACTTTTATACGAATAAACTACTATTCATTTTCGCTATAAACTGGTAAGGAACAACGGTAGATATGTCGTGTTTCCAAATTTTCCTTATAGCTAATAGGGCTCTCGTAATCCCCTAAAACGCAATCGATATTTTTGCGAAAATTGCGAAATTAGAATGGGAACAGTCACATTGAAACATATTAACATAATGTTGCAATGATAAACAAGTGGATGTGCAGTCGAGACGATTACGAAGAATGTACGACCAATTTTCTTGCTTTGGCTTTATGTTGTCTTTCTGTATAAAATTACCTGTGTAATTCGACAAAACAGAGAAAAACAAAGCAATCAAATGATATTAAATCGCACCTTTTATAACGATTTGTACAGATCCTTGTTCATAATGAATTTTGGACCCAAAATTATTATTAACTAGATGTTTGTGGTTTGGCGTAGACACCAGAAAAGGTGCTGGTGTTACAATAGGTCTTCCTATCTGGTCTGGCCGCTCTGATCTGTGGACGTTAACGTTGGTGGATCTATTCTTGGAGTTGGGGAATGAAGCAGTTGCTAAAGATAGCGTATTGCTAGGTTCATTAACCATAACATAAGTTTCTACGGTTGGCAAACGTATGGTGGTCTGATTAATGCAAAACAGAGTGGTACGTAATTCAACATTACGACGACCTATTGTAGGATTGTCCTTCGTATTAATGTATTGTATGCGCTGAAGCAGTTGTTCCAAATGATCTTTATTGTGAGCCGCAATATAAATTTCGTTAAGTTGAGTGTTACATTGTATTTGTGTTTCGGGATCTAAAAAATTGCCGAACGGAGGCAACAAGTGCTCCGCACAATTAGTACCGCATTCGACATCAGTTGGTGAAAATACTCTATTTAGCAAAATCTTAATCTCTGATATGTCACCATTAAAGCCGTGTTTAAGATGATTTTCAGAGCTTTGGTAGCAGGCACCTACAGTGAGTGTTGTATTGATGCCGTGAGCTGCATGCAGTGGCCAATCGTCAATTACTTCTGGATTACTATGATGGTCTTCAGTGGAGCTTTCGAAACGTAGGCCATCAATATATAGATCGATTTTAGAGTTTTGATCGACATTAAGCACATAATGATGCCATTCGTTGTCGCACACCTGCGGTATTTTCCATCGCCATTCCGCTGGACTAAAGATATTCAAATCTCCTTCGTTAAAGTTCTTGCGCAACAATAAGATCAAACGACAGTTGCGCACAAAGAGTGCCATGTGGTGGCGATTCATTTTATGATCGTCGGCGTTACAGATAATATGTTCCTTTATATGCCTATTGGAAGCCGTTGGGCCAGTCTCAACAAAGTGACGAAAAATTGTCACTATGCTGAATGGTCCTTGAGAGAAATCTTGATATGACAAAATTTTATTGGGTACACGAACGCCAGAAAACCCGTCAAAGTGAAATATAGGTTCCGGTCCTTCATCATAGCTTAGATCACTCGTCCAATCAGTGCTTCGCGGAAGAAGATCGATCAAGTCAGAATGACGAGAACAGTTACTTATATCACGATCGCAACCAAATGAAATATGTTTAGTCTATAATTAATTGAAATTAAATTGAAAGCATTTTGTTTTTCAATATTGATCTCCTTACTTTTAATACAATGTTTACGTTTAAATTGGGTTTTTCGCATAACATGCCACATAATTCCAAACGGGCGTTTGGAAATAAAAACAAGCTTTCTGTCGATGAGGCCTAAAGAGAAGTAATTCAAATGGTAAACATTTATTTAATACGAACATGTTGACATTTAATTACCGTATAGTCAATGCGTTCGGGTATGCCCAAAAATCGCGCTTCACACATTCTCCGCACTTTTATGCTAACCATTATTGGTTTCGATTGTTTCATCGCACAATCAAAAGCTACTACTGACAATATATAATTATGTGAAATTTTATGGGATAGAGGCTCAGTGTTCTTTATGGAACCTTCGTTGTCAATGGAAAATGGCTGATCTCCGTTTAATAACTGGTATTTGCAGACATCTCCATATAAAGGCGTACAATCTTTGTCGATTGCTTCAACTCTGATTATCTCCTTGTAGAGTCTTCCCTCATCAGCTTCCGTTACATAAGAGGGCTGCAGGAACGTCGGCGCGTACTCGTTTACATCGATGACAGTTATGTGAACGTTTGCCGCAGCAGAATGTGTTCCATCACAGAACACTGCTACAATCTCGAAGTGATAGCTTTTACGCTTCTCACAGTTGAGGTTCCGATGCGCTTTAAGCACGCCCAAGTTGTTAATCAAGTTAATTTGGAACGGCACCTCATGATAAGGCTTTTTTACAATTTGAAAATTGCAAATTTTTTCTTCGTCTACTTTAATAAGTGGTGTTATTTCAACTGACGTTTCGTTTTCTCTTATTAGACCATGGTATGATTTTTCTAGAATATTGTCTATAAAGAACAAATACAAAAATATATTGTATTGAAAAGCATATTTCTGATTATACCTTTTTGCGACAAGAAATCGTCGTCGTTTTCGCTGGACGATATTGTCTGATATTTATAGGACGGTGTAGATGCTGAAGAAGAAGATCCTGGCAGAACTACTATCGCTCCAGCAACGATGTAATAACCAAAAAGAAGTAAGAAACATCTCAATTGCAAAACCATGGCAAAGCCTGACATAAGAAAAATTTCATTTACACAATGTTGATAAACTTTATAGAATTAAGATTCTGTAAAAGAAAGTAATAGTGTCGTCTGTTAAACATGCTCTAGTTGAAAACCAGGTTTCACATTTCTTTCACTGAAGGCATTCGCATGCTGCCAATATACTTTCGAGTCTTTTGCGAAGCTCCGTACAAATGGAGAAAAAATAACAAAAAAATGAGAGCCAAAACTTTAATGCAAAGCACTTAACCAGAATTATTCAAATTGGCTTCAAGTCAGAACATTTGTAGTGTATAACGTCACTCAGTTGAACCTGCACATAGGAGGATAATATGTATACACAAGTACTTTTTGTAATCCGATCTCGCAATTCACCTGTGTACCGGTTTAGTGTTCGAATTCTTAATGTAAGAAAAGTTAGATGAAAAGGTTACACTAGGTATTATTGGTTGAATTTCGTAGATCGAATTGCAAAACAAATCTCTAATTAAGTAATTTCAACATCTTATCATCGTCAATTTTATACTTACTTCAACACATGTCAACTTGGAATAGCGCGAATATTTTTGAAGGTCACAGAAGACTTAAGTAAAACGGACGACCCACCGCAATTTTCTACATACAAAAAATAAATTTATTTGTATATAAATTTCAAGAAGAAACTTTCATCTTGCATGCGCATTTGGTAATTACACAAGATAATGAATTAATTAATATGGAATTAATTCACAACATTTTCAAACTTCCTACCATCGTCAAGAATAAGTTGTCTTTAAATATTTAGATGATACGCAACCATTAACATGATAGCAATTTTGGTTTTTTACACAAAACACAAACAACGTTTATATACCATTTTCTACCACTAATCTTTTAAAAACTATTGTTATTTTATTTTGACGTAAATTAAGCATATATTTTAATTTTTGCTGATGGTGCACATACACGTGTATGTCTCTCGAATTATTTAATAGATGTGACTACTTTTCTTAACAGATGGTTTAATTTTATTTCAAAAGAAAAAAAATGTTTTTTTCATTCTTATTTTATTTAGAAAATTTAAGCACGGTACAATATTTAAAGGTTCTCTCTCATTTACATCGGATAAGACATATAATAATTAAACTGAGGGTGCGGTAAGTAGAACTTATTACGATATAAGGGAGGAAATTTCATTTAATTTGGATGCTATGTTCACCAATCACCGCTTGCGTAGAATAAAACAATTCTTAAACAATTCTTTAATGCCCTCTTAACACATCTATTAGCGTCTTAAACGAAAATCTAAAACATGCAACACTAAATATTGCCAAAGATTGAGCGACTGTGTAAATACCGTCGTTCTACACTAAGAATGAAAAGTAATTGTAAAATGCATCGAAAAGTTTATGAATTTCAAAGCTTTTACAATTTCAAGATATTTTATATAAAATTTTGTTATTAGACATTCTGGATTATGTACAAGTATGGAAATGACATTCCTACCCACAAATCCAACAATAGCAAATTCCATTCCATCCGTTCCATAATTTTGTTACGAATTTTCTTCGCAAAACATCGCAGAAATCCGTTGAATTAAATAAACCGTATGGGTAGCATTCAAAACTACGAAAGAAAAACGAAAGAAATTTTTGGCTCCGAAGCACAATACGTTCAAATTGCTTGCATTTAGTAAAAGTAACGTTAAGAGCAGCGCAACTTGGCTTGAACAAAAAAAAAAAAAAAGAATGGAGCAATACAAACTACAATATTACTTAAATTGCCATACCAAATTAATATAATTTTCAGATGGTTCGAATGACAGCGTAAGCGGTGCTTTACACTGACGAATTCTTTCACCTGTTTTCCATAAAACGTGAACTACGTGGAACATGCTGTTGTACAGATATCGATATATATATAGGTATATATGTATATACAAGAATACCTTTTACCTGTTTTACTCATGCGTACATACACCTTAATGGACATGCTATAAAGTATTTTCTACCAACTCAGAGACAAATGGATTAATATTTGATGCGATGTGCGATTTGAAAGCAGATCTTTATACAATTTTATGGATCTTTAGAAGTTTACAATTTAAAACATCTTCATATTGCGTGTTGTGTGTTATATTTAGTTTCTAGATAACTGCGGGCAAACCCTTGCGTTAGTTGAACTTGAATTAGTTGAACTTGGAATCTAAAGCAGACTCTAATAAAGAAGTTAACAATATCTTCGATATGTAAATCAAGAAAAAGACTACAAATTTATTGTGTTTTCTTAAGTACATACTGGACTAACTTCCCTGATTTTCGAACTTATGTTGTAAGGAGACAAAGATGTGAGAAGACGTTGTTTTAAATAAGATTTCAAAGTCGTAAACGGATATTTCCAGAAGTAGAATAAGCAAGAAGGTGTTTCTAAAGATGAAAGAAATATATGTATGTGTTTTTCAGAGTTTTTATTGCGCATTGCTGTGCTTTGTAAACGTTACAATACAAAATCTGTACATGGAAGCAAAGCAGTAGCGGGTATTAAGAGATTGTCATGCCTTCTGTTTATGAATAATTTTAACACAGATAAAAAATGGATCTTTGAAACTTTATTCACAAACGTCCATTCATTTATTTTTTTTAACTTGAATAGTTTCACTGCAATATGGTCCGATTTTGCTAAAAACGCCCAAAACCAACACGAATGCTTCCATATTTTTTGTCATTGGTTCATATTTAATGGGCATGGGTGCACACGGGTACTTTTTCAAAAAAAAGTTTGAAGATAACATCATGAAGTAACATCTATACATACTAAAACATTTGCAGGGCCGTAGGAACGTCGAACTTTTCTTATTGCGCTGACGGAGATTATACCGCGCTTTTCATGTTATTTTTCCCAAAACCAATAGAAAATACCAAGTATTCTAAGTAAGGAATCCATATTTGCTGACTACCTAGTGTGTGTAGCTATTATGTCCATGCGCGGTAAAAATACGTATCTGATGAACTTGTGGCACTATCGTTAGACCACATTTTCTGATTAACAAGTTGTAGTGTTTACGAATGTAGAGGGGATCTATCAGTCTGTATTTGCCATGTTCTTATCACAAGCTTCAATCTTTTGCTGTGATAAAATCAAAGAAAATTATTCAAGATAGCACGAGAGGGCAAACGCAAGAAAAAAAAGAGGATCGAGTTTGTCTATATGAAATAATGGTGGACTTTCCTTTGCAATTTTGAATGTAGCCAGCTCATCATAAATAATCACAGACGCAGTTGACTAGGTGACTCAAAACCCTAAAAATAGGTATCTAGTGTGTACAGATGCAATAGCAGCTAAATTGGTACAAAAGATTTGATTTATACTTTAGAGAATTGCAAAGAAAAAAATAGATAGGTAAAGATATATTAAAACGAATTAGAAGAGATGGGTTAATCATTTCATATAAATAGATCTAAAATTCTATATAAAATAGTGCCAATGCTATAAATTTTTATCATAGCACTTAATAAATTTGAAATCAACAAATTTGTCTCTAGAAGGTGCTCGAATTTACAGAAATTAAACATTTTAATTTCAATCATATACGTGATACACATTTCTTCATTAAAAAATATGAACAAAGAAAAATCATCAAAGAGGAAAGAAAAAACGCTAAAGGCGTTAAGCAGCGCAATAATTTGACAAGAAAATTTTGCTGAAGATAAATAATCGGAATGCCATTGAAATCAATTACAAATAGCTCTTCATCAATCGAAATCAATCGATATATAAACAAGAGACTCGAGCGATGTCGTAAAAACTCAGAAGACCACACAATCCAAACTAAAATAGGTGTTCTTAGTTCGTTTAATGAATAGACATTGAAGATTCAATAAAATTTCGTCAAGGAGACTAATGAAACAAAATCTGATGAAAACGAAGTAGAGACTCTGTAGTGAAAAACATTACGCAAGTCACTTATTAAAATTATAATACGTAATGGAACAATAAGACGGGCTGATATTCATAAAACAAGTTTTTTAATTGATCACCTCACACCCATAGTCCGTAAACTTCATTATATCTGACGCAAATTGAAAAGAGGAAAGCGGATTACTGGATACAAATTTTGCAATGACGCTGTACTTCCAGCTGTACATACAGAAACGGAAGGAGTTGATATTATATTAGATGTATTTAATTTGAGGAAGAAATATCAACAATTTTGGTTATGCCTTAATTTTAACGTTTTTACGGTAAAATCGTACTAAGGAATCCTTATTAAATTGTGTTTTTTTTTTTCATACATGAAGTACTATACTTTGCTCGGTTGCTAATTTATCTATTATTTTCCCATTATATTCACTTACGCTTTCCTTTGATTAACTATTATATTTACTTTTATTGCTGAATTTTTATATTCTTTGCTCTTCCTTTTTTTACATTTATTTTAATTGAAGTGAATGTCATTCTCACTATGACATTGTTTTTTGACTTGTAGGCTTAAGGTGCAATGAATTTGTCGAGTATGGAGCCAAGAATGTTACTGGTCTATGAATTGTTTGTAATATATATATGTTTACACTTTTTTTATATGTAACCAGTTGAGTCTTTGACACAATGTTTCTATATTGAGTAATTCTGTTTTTTTCCCAACTTAATCTCTTAGAGACATTGCAAATAAAGCTTACGTTAAAGACCCTACATCTTACAAATGGAATGTGATTTGTAGTATAGAAACAATGCTAAAAAACTACATGGAGAAGAAAAGCCATTTTGGCAGAAAATGTAACATTGTCGATTCCAAGAGTAAATGAATCAATGAAGGGTTAGCAATAGTGACTCAGTCAACGATGACATTGATGTATATGTTGACCCCATAAATAAGTGTTTCTTATATGGTTTGAACGTTAGTTCCGATGCCCCTATTTTACATGTCTTAGTGATCGTCAGCTGCGTTTGGTAACATTATATTAAATGTTTGTAGTGTTGATGGAACCTCGTTGAAATTTCTAAAAATAGTTATCCCTTTAGTAAGTAAGCCTGTGTTATATGTATTTAACTGCATCATCATAACACTGGAAGCTTGCAAAAATTATTCTGATAGATGAAACTGGCGTTTCATTCAATATTGGAAACCTAAGACTCACAAGTATTTTGCCTACATTGCCGAAGGTATCTAGACATGTTATAATGTCTCAAACCTCTCGGCATATTGCATAATTTTACTTATTGAATGGTCGACAAACAGGGTACAACAAGGTCGCAGCGCGTCATGTACATTACTTGGAATTACTGCATCTATAAGATAAAATTTATTTATTGTAGTACCATTGCACTTGTCCAAAAGTTTTGATCGAATTCATCACCAGAAGATGGTGCAAAAACTCAATAATGGATTTATGTTCGTCTCTGCTCATAAAGTCCGATTTGTCGGGCAGGAATCAATTTGTCTTTTAAAGGTCGTTAATCACGCATAGAGTAGGTTCCCACCTTCATCCCTAGATCCCTCTAGAGTGACTCAAGGATCCGTTCTCGGCTCAGTATTGTTTTCAATGTACTTGAATAACCATGTTAGTGCTGATGAGTTGGGAGTATACTCGGTGTACGGTTTTGCAATCGGTATCCAATTATTTCTTCATGGTACTTAGTCAAGGGATTAAGACGGAGTTCAATGTTGGGTGAGATCTATCTCTTTGCCGTTGAATATGTCCAAATTGAAAGTTATGAAATTTAGTATCGTAGATATGAGAATTCAAATGGAAGGATGTAAATTGGAGTTTTTTGATAAATTAAAAATTTTGGGTGTTATTATTGACAAGAGACTTGGTTTCTGATACCATAGAAAGAAAAAGCAAGCAATCAACCATCAACTGCTTCTAAAGCTGCGTCAATTAAAAATCTTCACGATAGAACCAGGGAATACTTGCTAGCATTAGACATTGGAAACAGAACAGACACTTAGAGCCCCTTATTACTGCAGATTTTAATCAAGAACTTAGATTGCAATCTGCACATAAGATTTGAACAATCTCTAAAACAAACTAAAGAGATACTCATCATTGAGCACCTGCTACTATTTCTGCAATTTCAATTCCAAACCATGGACTCGATCGACCACATCATTTACAGCATAGTTGGCAGTACGTGATGAAAGAAAAGGTGATAAATGCATATAGGAAGCCAAGTTCTCAGTCCTCATCATTCCAGACTTTCGTTGGCAATAGAATTTCACGAATTCAGACGCTAACTCTACCAGAGCAGTGGT